AGACCAACCCATATTTGGGTTTGTTGTATTAATATTATTTATAACCAATATTTCCTTTAGTCTTCTGTATATTTTTCCAGCCGCAATATTTCGTTACGATATAATAGTTTAATAAGAAAATTAATCCCATGTTACTTACCATATCATCAGCCATTATAAAAAGTATATGTGGTGGGCTAACATCGTTCGCTGACACCGATATAATCCCCAAAAGCAGCCACCATTGCCTGCAAACTCACATTATTTAATAAAAAAACATAACCCAAGTAATGTCTGACGTATGAACTTTATTTACATTTCCTATACTGTTATTTGTTCAGTAGGTAATCATTATTATGAAGACGACGACATGTACGTAATCTTAATCGGTTTAAATAAAAAAACCTTTTTAACTAGATCACATTGCTTTCTTTTTAAAGATAATAAGAGAGTGTCAGTGATATCTTTAATTAACATACATATAAATTACTTTAATTTACTTTTTACATAATCGAAATACAATACGAATGCAAATTAGTGTATTTAACATATTAATTAAATAGATAATTGAAACTGTATGGTTTGATACATACTGTTTACAAGAACAAAATAAGCATGATTTAAATTTATTTAGACTGACAGAATACTTGGTATGTTGGTCTTTACTTACGAGCACAGAATTAAGAAAGAAACAACCAATAAAATAGTCATAAAAAATCTAGGATTACTAATTTCTGCAATTATTTAAACAGGTTTTATAACCTTAACCACGATTCGGTGGTCATTTACATGAAGTCGTAACGAAATTGCGACCCATTGTTTCTCTGTTTCGTGATTGAATACAATTAAACCCTGTCAATTAGTTATGACTAGTTTATGTTACTCATACCCCACGAATTGTCTTAAATTAATTTTTGTTTTAATCTAATGAAATTGAAAAACTATATAAACTAATAATTTAAATCTAACAAATGTCAGTATTACTTTCTTAAGTGAAACAAATAATTTATTATAGCTACAATTTTTAGATACTTACTGTTATTTTATAATTATTAACATCAAAACAAGAATACTCACCAAAATGATGTTTGAATAAACATATTTATTTTATCTAATAATGGCACATAATTACAAAAAACCCAATTTATTTTGCCGATAATTTCAAGACCGGCTTGCTCGGCAGCTGAACGGATACAAAAGTAAGGAAAACTGCGAAGGTTCTATACAATTGCAAAATGATTAAAATAATATACTTACGCTATTGTTATTTATCTCGCTATAAAAATTATAAATTCTTTAATAAGTTGGCGATAGTTTTCGTATAATTAACGATATATGTTTTAGGTATTAGCGATCAATTTCTGAACAGATCCTTAGATTTTCTGAAACAAAAATTACATCCTTAAATTATATTTAGATTTTTAATGCTTTTGCTTATGAAATATATTAAATGTCAATCTTTTTGTAGCTTTCGATGAAATTATAACACATCTTAATAGAAGAGTTACTTACACAGCAAACAATATTTTCTTCATCTCCGAATAACACATTTCGACGTTAGTTACTTTAAAGTTTAAAGCATGCTCAAAATATAGAACTACAAATTATAAATATACATGCGCAAAATTATATATTTGTTTTATACGTGAAGGTCGTGATTAATGCGTATACATATTTTTATAGATTACATAATACCTCCATAATTACGGGTTCAACTACGAGTATAACGCCATTATTATTAGATTATTAAATTAATTTCCGGCGAAATAACAAATTATTCGGGTTCAGACTACTGTCGCAGTCCTACAGCCGCTAAAGAAAAATACAAGTGTATTGCTTAGATGTGCTTGCTCGTGATTGTCTCGATAATTAATGTTTAATTATTTAAAATTTAAATATGTATTCTAGTATAACTAACAACGAAGACTTTTAGCTATTGTGATTTCTTCAGATGTCAAATTCACGTAACATCTCTTTACGTATTTAATTCGCAAAATACGACCTTGGCTGGACCATGATTTTTGGCCTTACTAATGAAGGCTTAATAATCACATTATGTAATAATAAATATTTAATTGTCTTTGCGTTGATGTTATAGTCACTTTTCACTAAAGACTACTACTATGGCTGCTACGAAATGGACCTTGATCTAAAAAATACGATAAAGGCACCAAATTTTCTAACGTTGTGAGTGCTTAGAAAACGATTTCGTAAAAACTGCGTTACGTGTTCATTGACATTATAAGCTGCAAATTTCTTTAAATTTACCGACATCTTAAACTACTTAATGACCTTCAATTACGCTAAAAGTAGTCACTTATATCGTAGTAGGTATGATTAATGAAAAACACCCAATCTTTGTAATTTACAAAATTTAATTAAGTTTAATTTATCCTAATAAAATAGTTTTATGTAAATATGACTTACCTACGTACTGGCGTTACGATAAAACTACCCCACGGATCCGAGTGAAGGTTTCTCAATTATATTATTATACTTGTTAATTATGTGTTAATTCTAGCGAAAGATTTGGTATTATAAAATCTTCTCATATCCATATGAAAGTAATCTAGGAAAGGGAGAAGCAATGTTCGCGCCTTACATCATATTTTACAAAGTAAGTAATTTTAAAACTGACGAACCAAAATCTTGATCTCCACTTCCTCACTCGTTTAGGTACAATTAACTCACCTTGGAATATTTTTTTAAATTGATATAGGCTTACAAAATGTTACTTACCTCACTTAAACCTCGGAAAGTAATCGGGTATATTGAGGTCCTTGGTGTCAGCTGTGGTTGTTTCATAATCAAAACACGGAGGTGGTCGTGACTTGTGACGTAGATTCGATAGTTGCCTGTACGGCAGTTATACGATCATTTAAATAATAATTATGTATAAAATAATATGACTATTTAAAGAATCAATGCATACGCGTGTCGAGACAGACGATAAAACAATTATTAAGAGCTAGGAAATTGCATTCATCACTTTGTCTGTTTCTCTAACACGACGCACGTCGAAATAATTAAATGATGGGCTCATACGTCATTATTGAATATTAAAAAAAACATCTGTTTGGGCTCAATGGAAGATAATAAGTATTACCCAGACGCGTCGAATTGTACGCCTCCTTAGGGATTTTTTTCTGTAGAGCCTTATTACTTAGGACGACGCGTTGTCCGGTTGTAGCGCTATTCAACAATACTAAGTTTCAATTTAAATTATAATGGTTCATGTTTGGAATATATTAGAAATTAGTCGCACTAGTTTTGGTGTTTGAGACCTTGAACATATATAAAAAAAGGTTAATCTTTTTTTATATATGTTCAAGGTTATCATGAAAGCAGGTTTTTTTTTTTATTTTTAATTTATCTTCGAAGAACCTGAACTCGATTAGGCAAGTATGATCAGCTTGTAAATAATTCAATTTGACCATGACCGCCAAAACTTACTTTAGTAGCTGTCGTTGTAAATATAAAGTTAAGCAATAATCGTAAGTTATTGTTTAGTAAAATCGAAACAAATTTAAACATTATATTTTTATTTCTAGTTATTACAACAATTTTCTATTTCGAAAACAGGAATAAAAAAAAATTTGAAATTCTAAGAGCAATAGCGCACTAGCGGCCAGCGAGATAGATATAGGCAGCGGCACGTAAGTCTAGCGCTGGCCGATACGTGGAGGGGATTTCTGCGCATGTGTACTGTCGCGCGGGGGACGGAATGGGACTGGAGAGCCAATCGAAACTCTTCATTCCGCTAGCCCCCCTCAGGTATCTTATTTTTTACTTCTGCGCTAGAGTTTCGTGCCGCTACTTGTACATTATTATGAAATCGCTATGGAGCACGCGCACCTGACCGCATGCGGCCAGCGGCCCTATGGAGCTACGGCGGCCAACGACATCAAAGCGACGCATCTGCGGCCCGTGGTTTTTTGTTTGAAACGCGCTGTATTTGCACTGACGAATCTATATGCGGTTTTGGCCGCGACCAGGCCGCTAGTGCGCTGTTGCCCTTATATATGCTTCTTTACATTCTAATATGTAACATATAAATTGCAATTAGACTATAAAATGAAACAGTTTTATATTCCTGAAAATATAAACATTTACTGTTCATTCCTACAACTCAACACACAACTTTATTTATTTATTTGCTCAACAGTATTCCTACAGCTACTCACTAAACAATATCCAAACAATTACATTGTACACAAAAGCCAAAAACGGAATAAAAATTCAAACATAAACAAAGCACAGTGTACAGTACCCTTATATACAAAAAATATAACAAAGTAAATATGTATGTATTTATAATAAATTCTTAATTTGTTAATAACATAGAAATTAAAATATAATTAACACATTTAAGGTGTATAACATTTGTTGGACATAATACTCAATAATGTCACACTCAACACGATAGATATTTAAAATTTTAATAACTAGATTTTATTAATTATCAGGTACACATTCAAAATTTTTGCACACAGCAATAATATGAAACGAGGAGTGTTGGGCTAGTGGCTTCAGCGTGCGACTCTCATACCTGAGGTCGTAGGTTCGATACCTGGCTGTGCAGCAATGGACTTTCTTTCTATGTGCGCATTTAACATTTGCTCGAACGGTGAAAGAAAACATCGTGAGGAAACCGACATGTCTTAGACCCAAAAAGTCGACGGCGTGTGTCAGGCACTGGAGGCTGATCTGATCTGACTAGCCTATTAGATTTAAAATTGATCATGAACCTGATTCAGAAATCTCAGGCCAAGACCTAAAATGGTTGCAGCGCCACTGATTTTTTTTAAATAATATGAAATATAATTAGTAATTAATCAAAAATAACTGGAGCTATTTAAGCTGACTTTCACTTAGTATATATATGACTTAGAAATTGCGCATACAGGGAAAAATGCGTTTAAATAAACATATATGCTAAACTACTTGCAAAAAATAATTTACCTTAAAACAGGAATAAAGAGATGTGCTTATACTAAAATTAGAAATAATGTTAAACACAATTAGACAAATTCTTTTAAAACTTGTTGTATTTCTTCAAATACATGTTGATTTAAAAATGCTATAATTCCATGCTTATTGCAGTACATTTGGGTATCCAAATTATCAGGATCATTATATTTTACAAGAGAAAAATCTGTGAAGTTTATTATGTCACCTCCCAATGATGATAAAATGCTATGTGGTCCACATGTGTCCCATCTGAATGTTGTTCCTTTTGAAACAATGTATGCTGTGGCTTCACCTGTAAAGTTACATTTCTTACAGTGAACTAATATGAAATTCCAGTTTTTAGAATTAGTTCTTTCATGATGTGGTGCAAATTGAACCTTATTATTAGACTAAGAATAATATCTCAAATAGCTTTGCAATGCTATCTTAATTAAAATACATTAAAAAAATTACCTAAAGCAAGTTTGAGCAGCTTATGACCTGCTCCTGGTACAGATTGTATTTCCCAACCTAAATCCTGAAACTTGTTTATTACATTTTCGTTTTCAGCACTACTCATTAAAATTATTTTTCTTGGTGAAGAAGTACTTTTTTCGTGAGAACATAATTTAATGTCACCATAATTTATGCCCCAAATAACCCTTCCTGAGCCACTGAAATAAATTTAGACATTCAATTTACATACATCTATTTCCTTAATATGTATTTCATATTAAATTTCCTGTTAACATACAATTTCTATTGCCAAACAAAAATGCTAATGCCAAACTTGAATAATAGTTAAATAGTTTGGTCTATCAGTATAAATTAAATTGTGCATTTAATGAGTGCCCACATATTATGGAATAATATACATATTATCAAATTACCCATTGTAAAATGGCTGATTAATTACACCAACAACAGGCTCTCCAGTAGATCTTTTATATGCCCCTATAAGAACTGTGACACACTGAAGACCATGACCGGGTTTAGCTTCTCCACGGACTCCAGCAATAAACTCTGCTGTACCATCTACAACAACAATACAATCCACACTTAGTAGGATGTATATAATAATTTGTATCCATTTAATTGTATGTTTTAAAAAATGGTTATTATTATTATTCATTACCAATTGGATCAATCCAGACTCCTAAATCTGAATAGTCAATTGGTCCAAGATTAGGAGTAGTTCCACATTCCATATTTTCTATATCACTGTGAGCTGCTTCAGCCATACATTTAGCTGTCTCTTCAGGTAAAATTATTTTAAGTAAATCAATTGTTCCTTGTAAGGTTTCTTTCAAGGAAATTGTCACACCACCTATGTCTGAGCATTCTTCACCCCGTACATAATCCTTAAGCTCAGGTATATATGACACTATCAATGATTTGGCCGCTTCTTGGGCTAATACATCAGCAATAGTTTTGAAATCTTTATCAAATCGGGGATTAGCATCATTGCTTTTCTCAGCTATTAAAATCGAGTTGTTATTACTGGCACAAGACCGAGCTATCCGCGCCGCTTTCTCCGAGGCAAAAATTAAAATCTCCAAGACATTTGACATTGTTTAGCCTCGTTTATCTTGCAAATGTTGTAACTCGATGTTCTTAGACAGTAGCCACTCTTTAAACTAGAATTTAATTTGTAACTAATTTAATAAAGCTACCTATCCATCAAGTAATGTACTGCGCTTATCGGCTACCGCCTACGGAATTGATTTTTCTGGACGCCAGATCTGGCTCCCTACTCACTACACTATTAGAACTTGATAAATAGTGTATTATTAATTATTATATCCATGCATTTACTTAGTTATAAATTATAATTCAAATTAGATTATTGTATAATAGTGTCATCGCGTTATACGCGTTGGATTAATGTATTTATTACATTCTGTTAGAAAATAACAAGATTTAAAGAGTCGAAGTTTAGAAACTAGGTAAATTCCTAATAATATTGTAAATTTTTATTGCAAGAAAACTAAGAAATTTCCATTGATTACAATTTAGTATTTACATTTTACAACATTCACTTAGGTCTTAGAAGAAATTTTAGCCACAGTCCACAGATATCTAAATCTAAAATGCATTTTAAATTTTTAACCCATAATCGTACGTCATTGAAAACAAGTAATCACTATTTTACATTAAACGATCACTATTTTACATTTACATGATCCGAATGCTTATCAAAATACGGATGTCAATTGTCATTTGTCATTCGGCTAAGGACCTATAGACAATCGCTTGCTTTAGATAGTTGCCTAAAATATAATAAATTAGTTACACTGTTGAACATTAAATACAAAGATTACCCTAATAATTGGTTTACATTTTAACAGCTGTGATAGTTTTACCTGTTCGATTACCTAATAAGCCCTACACTCTGAATTACTTATTTTGTCAGAATCGAAACCCAGAACTTTTGGCTACATACACATTAGCAATACAGGGGCAATCTACGATGAATGGGCGATTGTAGAGCACCTTATAGTTATTACTGTTGCAGATACACAATGAAGGATTGGTTCAGAATTAGATGAATGATATGAATAATATATTTTGAATTGGTCAATATTTTATTTCATTGTAAAGATATTATGCATATTTATTTGCTAGATGACTCAGAATCTGAACTTCGACTTTTCTTTTTCTTCTTCTTTTTACTTTTCTTTTCTTTGTGTGTCCTTTTCTTATTTTCCTGTAAAAGATTTTTATATACTCAATATTCATTACAAGTTGTAATAAAAGAGAAAAGGAATTCATGTAATCTCTTAAGATCTAGTTTTTCTATTGGCATTGCGTTAACATAAAATTATAAGAAATACTGCTATATTACTGTTTGCATTTAAAAGTTTGAATATAGCATAAGCCTGCTATTGGTTGTGGCATAGAACACTTCTTTTGAAGCTTCCAGCCTATGAGCTCCCCAAAAAATTATGGAACTGGACCGCTTGGAGCACCAAACTCGTCAGCGATGGAGCATGTTCCAATCTTAAACGCGTGAACTCTGGGACCCCACAAGGCTGTATCCTATCCCCGACCCTATTTCTTCTGTATATCAATGATATGTTGTAACTTAGCAACATTTATTGCTATGTGGACGACAGTGAAGGAGATGCTCTTTACACTGACAATGCAGGTATTTCCCAGGCAGTTGTCAATCAGTACCGGCATAAATTTGGATCTGAAGTTGAAACTCAGCTATGTAACCTTTTTGATATCTGTCACAAGTTGATGCTGAATACTCGGTGCACATCCTTCTGTTCTGATGGAAGCTGTAATTTCATCCAACTTTGACATTTCAGCATTAGGTGCTTTATATTGTTCACAGTGGTCAACTCTTATTGTTCTTCCTAATATCTGTAGGTAGATTAAATTATTATATTAATGTTCATTAAAATTGCAATACAAACAATACATTCTGATAAAGATGAAAATATAATTAGCGCATATAATGGAGATTTCTTTAAAAGCAATGTTAATTAAAACAATAACCTTAATTCCATTTAAATTATCAACTGCTAATATAGTTGATCTTTGGTCTTCATAACAGATAAATGCAAACCCTCTCGATTTTCCAGTTGCTTTGTCTCTTACTAAATTAATATTAACAATTTCTCCATACCTGTAAATTAGGAACATGTAATAAAACTTAATGAACGAGGAACATACACTTTAAAAGTTTTTATTTATCCTTACTGGGAAAAAACACAAATAATGTCGCCTTCTGTGAGATCATAAGGCAGTCCACCAATAAATATCCAAGCGCTGTTTTTATACTGATCGTGCCAAGAACTTTTAGAATTGCCTGACAATTCGCGTTCACTTAGCTTGAGAACATTTTTAATATTTCTGAAAGTTAATAGAAACGAAATATAGGTAAAGCTCTCTAACTATTCTAAGGATAAGTATATCGATATAAAAAGAATACCATCTAAATACTCACGTCATAGGATTCATGATACTTTGTAATCCTACTTTTACAAGTGGTAATTAAAGAAACATAAACATTTGTGAAAAATACGACTGATAAACATATATTTATATAGCCTATACGTTTTTTTATAGTAAACGCACAGATACTATATATAAGGGCCGATTTACATTATCTTAGTGTTTAGCAGAGTGCTTTAGGATAGTACTTTAGTTGAAACATGTAAACGCTACTTGCTTTAGTACGGTTCTACTTGACTTTCAAGTTGAATCAAAATAGAATCGCTTTATATGTGCGTTTTCCAATTACAGAGCATTATGCGACTCAGTGCCGCAGAATGCCGCATAATGCTGAAGCTTAATTGGAACGTGAATTAGTTTTCAAATGCATCAGCAGAGTGTGCTAAGTCAGTGTTGTAAAAAAAATGTTATGAATTGAGTTAGCAACCTCATTCATGTATAAATAATGTGGTAAACAATTATAATTGTTTGAAAACTTTTTACGCTTATTTTAATCATCAAATTATTTCATTAACATTTTTTTAATTGAAATAATAGAAAACCTTTAAAGAATATAAGGTTTTAACAAGCTAAATTAACAGTAAAATATTTAGTTTCATGTAAGAAGTTTACATCATTTACGTTTTGAGTAATATTTTTTAATGATTTCTAAAAAAAAAAATTATATACTTTTTCAAAACCATTGCAATTTTTTGTAAAGTATAATCCTGTAAAATAAATTTGTTTACAGATCCGAATTTTAAAATAAAATTGTATTTATATTTTAAATGTGGAATATAAAAAAAGTAACTATTTATACCTTCATCCATACTAATATTTATTTTTTTTAGCAGTTTGAAATAACTTTAATTATTTTCAAAATCTACGACGAAACGAAAGCCTTACAAATTTTTCAACAATAAATAATATTTGCTAACGAAAATTTCGATAAATGCCAACTTAAAGAAAAATACTGGTCAATTTTCTGTCACTGTGTTGGTATTGTTTGCGAGAAGCACGCGAGAGCATTCGTTTTGAGAGTGCTCAATTGTGCGAAGCGTTGCTGTAGTTGGAATACTCAACGTTGAGCATTATGCCGCAAAATGCGCTCTAGTGCTGTAATTGGAAAACGCACATTACATACTCATGACCTCTTGACAGTTGACAGTCCTGAATGACAATAAATTAAACCGATGTTCCGTTTGTACATATCAAGATTAAAATTTTGCTATTAGTAAATAAATAGTTTAATTTGTAAATTAATATTCAAATGGCGACTCCAACTCCTGATACTTCTGAACAATACGATCAGGTAAACCAACAACTTTTCTTCATTGTGTCTGTCTCCATTTATTAGTTTATTAGTGTTAAGAAACACATTGATAAATTACCAAAGAATGTTATTTCTAGTTCGAAGATGATGAGTCTGAACAGCAATTGGGAGCTACAGCATCTGGGCGTAAACGACTATTCAGTAAAGAACTTCGCTGTATGATGTATGGCTTTGGAGATGATCAAAATCCATACACAGAGAGTGTTGATTTCCTAGAGGATCTGGTTATCGAATTTATTACAGAAACTACTCATAGGTATTGTGGACTATAATTTATTAAAAAGCCTTAATAGCTTGTTAACTGATATGTACGAAATATACTTTTATATTTTCAGAGCTATGGAAGTTGGAAGACCAGGTAGAGTTCAAGTAGAGGATATAATATTTCTTGTTCGTAAAGATTTCCGAAAATATGCTAGAGTTAAAGACCTTCTTACGATGAATGAAGAATTAAAGAAAGCTCGAAAGGCTTTTGATGAAGTTAAATATGTTGGTGAGTAATATTTGATGTTCATGGAATGTTTTGTTAAACATTTATTGTTTGAAATTAATAAATATTTTAACAACTAAAACCGGCATTCTTATATTATAGAAGATCAACAATAATATTGGCAGTTCATGTGATGCCCATGCTTCTAGAGTGATGCAAGTAATTTATTTTTTAAACACATTGCTTTTGTGTTTTGCACAATGTTACTAATTATTATATTAAAAAAATAGGCTGTGATTAACATTAACATTTGACATTAGATATTTAAAATAAATAATTATAAGGGATTACTGGGAAATATTTTGTAGTTTTCATAATAAACATGTCTTATGTATCCGCAACAGCTAAATTGTGTAGTATTTGTAGAACAAAATGGTAGAGTATATAACACTGTATAAATTATTTATTTGTTATTTCAGAGTGATAACTTTAAATAAAAATTGGACAAAAACTGTAAGTATTGCTTCAAATTGTGAAACTGACAGTAATCAAATATTTCAGTTAATTTTATTTTGTTTTTAGTACAGTCTGGATGCACAATGATTGCTGTCCTAGAAAGATTCCTACATATGAAGTACTGTACTGCAGAAAATAATAAAGTTGGGATTAATGTAATATATGTTTTTGTTGTTGTTATTAAATTATATTATTGATGACATGTGCAAAGGTCATATCATTTCACCTTTGCAATGAGCCTTAGCATTAATATTAAAATGTTCATTAAATAAAAATTAAAGGTAAATTTTTAACACTTTATTGAAATTGTGCATTTAAAATACAGAACATTCATAATAGTTATAAATCAAAATATACACAATAATCTCAAATTATGTTGCATAACCTAAAAGTGCATTTAACTTAAGGTGATACTTATAAGTAGCACAAAGCTAATTCTAATGAACACGACAATGTATAAATATTAAAAAACTACATGAAACATTATAAAATATGGATTCAACATGTCAGATATAAATAGGTGTAAATAAAAATATTTTCAGGTGACTAGACCTGTTAAAACAGCCAAACTCTACTTTGGTTTTAGAATATATCTCACAACAAATTGGTCAACATACTAAGATTATTATAATAAATAGGCCTGTTGGCAGTGAGTGAATGTTATTCCTACTTTAGAACTATCAACTCTATAAACTTTAAAAATACTTAATTAAGTAAAAAGCAGAAGCATAAATCTTTAAACAGTCCTTTGAGGAATGCACACAAAATGCAATATAAAGAAGGCCTTATAAGGAAGATCTTAATTTGAGCCCCACCATACAAAAATTATACATATCTAAGGACACTTGATAAATTAATGTTTACAACATTATAAATATGAAATGGGAATAACAGCATTAGGGTCTAAATGTCTAAAACAGTTTTAATAAACAAGTAAAATAAGGCAAGTTAAATTGTAACCTTGTCAGTTCAGGCAATAAACTGGTAATAATTTGACAAGAACCATCACTTTTTATTTGAGTGTAATTGTTAAAAAAAACAGTTTTTGGTTTGTAGCACCAGATAATTTTTACAACATTCTACTTTGGTAAAAAAATTATTTCATGCAATACGACTACAACAATCACTTTTGTAATTATACAAATTTTATAGTGAATTAATTCACAGGGTAAAAGGCCATAAAATGTGATGTCATACTCTCTTATTTTCTATGGTCATAATATTTTTAGTCTGTGGGTGGTTCCATGGCAGCGATAATAGTTTTCATGACAGCGGCAGCCGTAAGAGCAGCATGGGGTTGCCATTCTTTTCCACGTGTGCCGTCGCGATAATCAGATATACCTGGAAATAGTATTTTTTGAAAATAAACAGTTCTTGTTCGTTAACGTTATATATATTACACGTCTATTGGCAACACAATTTGATTCTGACAATTTATGGATATACTTTTACATGTCATCAAATGAGGCGGCCAATCGTAGTGTTAAACTAATTAATTTGTATTAAAAAAGTTAGAAATATACTTTCTAAACTATAATAAACACAAACGGCTTTATAAACCGACGTATTATAGAACTATTTTAGACTATTTAAATCACCAACCGTAATTTGATCAAAAGCTACCTCGGAAGATTGTGGTGTATGCATACATTTTTTTTACTTTGAACTTGCGTCCTGAAATTACGTCTTTATAGCTTGGTTTAGATTTAACTCAACAATTCTTGGTCGACGATGAAAACAGACAGAGATATTCTTTCATCGAAAACACAGACACTTGCAGTTTCTTCGATGATATTTTTTCATAGCCAAAGTTCGTTGAATACCTAGATCCATCACCTTGTTCCTTTCATACGTCGATTTTTGGGTCTTATAAAATCCAGGAGTCGCACGCTCAAATCTCAACATTAGTCTTAAGGAACTCCATGAGAAGTTGTATTTTCAAAGCGGAAATTATATTGTATAGGTCTATTAAAAATGACAATGTATGTTATACAAGATCAGCAGTAAAAATCTATTAACCCGTTCGATGTTTAATAACATCCTTAATGTAACTAACAATTCTAAAAGCTATAACTCAATATACAACCGACCTCTAATAGATATAAAGCAATCCTTCCGATTGCCAACGACGCTGTCCAAGACGGCGTCGAGTTCGCAATCATAAGCCAAAGCGCGCGCGTGGTTGGCGAACGCGGCCCTCACTTCTCCCCCGCACGAGACCGCACGTCCACCCGCTACTGGTGCACAATGCACGCGGGATTCGCGGCTGTAACAATAATATAATTTATTTAAAAAAAAAAAAAGGTCTGGGCCTAAGATTTCTGTATCTGTTTCGTGAGCATTTATTTTTCTTAATAGGCCAGTAACCGAATTAATTACAGTCCCTTTTTTCACAACGTTAAGGTATTTTCATAGAAAGTTACTACTGATGTAGTTTTTATGAATAAGAAAGTTTTTGTTAAACGATATTGATATCATTCGTGTTATTCTTTGGTGTACGCGAACGTATACGTAACTGAAAGGTCTTGGATTCGAATAGTTTTTTGTTTATATGAAAATTATTAATATAAAGGACGTATTCTGTTGCAATTGATAACAATACGTTTGTTAGAATCTTTAAATACTAAATAAATTGTAACACTTACCAATCTAAAATATTTTGATAACTTTATTTAGCCTAGTGTGCCACGCCATTTTTAGTAAAGAGTGAAATTTATTTCAATTCAAATTTAAATGAGTGAAAAATAACAGTAGGGACTAAATATAATCTTACATTTGTTCACCGGCTGGTGCAGGATGCGACACTTCTATAAATGCTCCATCTCCTACATCAACGCAGAGGCGATCTGTGCCTTGCTCTGGCGCCTCCCAGCGACCTGGCAGGTCTTTAAGACGCTGTAGACCTAGAAATAGAAAACATTACTTTAAATAACAAATTTGAGTTGTTTGAAATCCAGAATTTTTATTGACTGCAACTATGAATTTCTTCAACTTAGAAAGTTGAAGTCCTTAAAACATAAAAAACAAACGGTTTAATAGAAAAAGGCTTACGTTACAAATCTAAAAAATAATTTTATAATTCGCTGGTACGGACTTCTTTTACCTTGTGACCCAAAAATTTCCACGTTTTCCCAGGGTTATTAATTTTCCAAGAAATAGATTTGAATACCAAAAAAAGACCAGGTATGCAAACTTTTTAGAACTTAATCGAATTTCATTAGTTTGTCCAGTATTAAATACCTTCTTGTACATATGTAGTCCAAAGGCCATTCGAGTGAGCAATTCTCTGAGCTAGTTCTTGCAAGAGGAAGTTCACTGGTTTGTATGGCTTTACTTCGTAGTCCCACCCGCCTTTCTCGTTACGCTCTGCTTTTTCGCAGAATACATATACATATCTGAAATTATATTTTCTTTTTACTGGAAGCGTTCTAACTCTAGGATAAAAGAGCCTATGTGCCATTGATAGAAAACCTCATCAAGTCAAAGTAAATACATACAAATTATATTTTTTTTATCTTTTTATTTGCCTCTATTTTCTAATCCACTGTTCTGAGACAACTGATCACGTAGCTTAATGAAGCTGCGACTTGTTAGGAAAATCATAAGGATAATTTATATAATATTTATTTATAGCACTCACTAGAAGAGATACAGTAAATTAATATCGTTTGTTATGAATGAAATACAAGGTAATTCCCAATAAATAGATCGGCGCTATGACGTTAATGAATGCATGAAATCAGCATTAATTACCAATTAACCCAACAAATTTGAGGTTAACAAGCACACGTTGGTTTCATGACACTGTTGTTTAGTTTTTATATCCATTATAATTATGAGTAATGCAGGTTAAGCTCGATGTAATCAAAAGACAGTTCTTTCTCGCTAGCTGGTATGAGTGACGTTTTTTGCGTAAGGAATTAACCATAAATTAAAGAAAGGAATGTCTTCTTGCTTTCTTATATACTAAAATTTTACCTAAAAATTACGTTAAATTTGGTTCTTTATTTTCAAAATTGGAAGAGACCCATTTGCATTCAAGATGTATCGGTTTAATGTTAAATTATTTCAGAGAAGTTGGTATAAAATGCTGACACGTATTGTTGAATTCATTACATTATTATGGCAATACTGACAAAAACTACTGTTGTATTTTTCGATTTTAAATTGTAGGTCAGACCTTTTATAGCGTCACCATGGAGTTGATGAACCGTTAAATTCGTATAAAACCTTGACGGTATTGTGTCGAGAATTCTTAATACGCATAAAGAAATATTCGATAACTATTAATGTTATTTCGCATATAAGTCAGTTGACCTACATAATAGAAATATTAAATACTGCACTAGATCGCAAATGAAACATAATTTTTAATTGTTATTATCTAGTTAGATTCTCAATGAATACATGCATATACATAACGCAATTACTCTCGCTATTGATAATAAGTTTATCAATACATTTTATATTTTTTCCCAGTAAAGGCTCAATGATAATTTTATGTATAAATTTTACCTCGCGTACTCACCCACGGGGAAACTGCAGGTGACATTCCGTGAACGTGACACAAATGAAATTTAATTCAACATTTTATACTGCGAGACTTAGTCATAGACATTTAGATCCTTGTTTATTTTTATTAACAAACTAGCAGACTCGGCCAAGCGTTGCAGTGGCTAAGGTTTTTGTTATATTACATAGTAGTAACCTATTCAAGGGAAACGGTAGGAGAACACCAGTCATGGGGACCACCATGCTTTTTTGGTGGTAATGCCATTAAATTATAGGTTATTTGAACCGTCGGTAGAATTGTGACTATCAAATAATAAACAAATAATTTGCAATAAAATAATATTGCGGGTATAAATTAAGATGTAAGCTTTTTTTTTTTTATAGAACGGGGGGCAAACGGGCAGGAGGCTCACCTGATGTTAAGTGATACCGCCGCCCATGGACACTCTCAGTGCCAGAGGGCTCGCGAGTGCGTTGCCGGCCTTTTAAGAATTGGTACGCTCTTTTCTTGAAGGACCCTAAGTCGAATTGGTTCGGAAATACTTCAGTGGGCAGCTGGTTCATAGTGGTGGTGCGCGGCAAAAACTGCCTTGAAAAACGCTCAGTTGTGGAACGGCGGACGTCGAGGTGATACGGGTGGAATTTCGTATTCTGTCTCGACGTCCGATGATGAAACTCAGCTGCAGGTATTAATCCGAACAACTCCTCTGAACACTCTCCGTGGTAAATGCGGTAGAAGATGCAGAGTGACCCCACATCTCTACGCAACGCCAAAGGATCAAGCCGCTCGGAGAGGGATTGGTCGTCGACGATTCGAACCGCTCTGCGTTGTATACGGTCAAGTGGAAGGAGCTGGTACTGGGGAGCCCCCGCCCAGAGGTGAGAGCAGTACTCCATGTGGGGCAGAATTTGCGCTTTATATATGTAGTTGCATGCGGTGGCCCGGAGTGAAGTAACGCCTCGCCTTGCTGAGCACACCAAGCTTTTTGGAGGCTAATTCAGCCTTTCCCTCCAAGTGACCGCGAAACTGAACGTCGTTCGATATGTCAACGCCAAGTATTCCAATGCTGGCCGTGGAAGAAGAGTGTTTTCGAAAAGAGGAGTAGCGACAAAGGGTGTTTTGTAGCGGAAAACAATCTTTTAAGTAAGATCAAACTGCACACGGTGTGCAAATTTGATTGAAATTGGTTAAGTAGTTTAGGGAGTCCATAGCGGACAAACAACGTGTCACGTAATTTATATATATTAAGATTATCACATAACAATGTGTATTACTTACTAATTTTTAGGAGGAAGACTATAAAAAAATTATACACGAATTGTTAAATAGGTATAGGACGGGTCTTATATGCAACATTTCAAATTATTTCTGACATATAAACGCTTTTATGTATTAAAATGACTTGTCAAAAAAATTTACGAATAATTAGGGAAAAGATAGGAACTTCAAAAAAAACACAGGGTACTCTTGTTATCTGCCTAGATATTAGAGTAACTAATAAACTAAATGAACACCACAGACTCTAATTTTTTTAATGATATGGTGGACTTTCAGTAATGATCATAATTTCTTTTAAATTGTAAAACAATTATTGAATAAGGTATGGAAGTCCTAATTTAACTTATTAGAATTAACGGATACGTCCTAACCTGGGGCAATTCACGAGGCGGACCGGACCTATCTTCCTAACTAGTAACCATCCCACTATGAAACTTCTAGAATACCTACTTGAAATTTAAGCTAATTTTGAAATTTAAAGTTACTGAAAAACTCGTTTGAATTTTTTACTTCTGGTTTTGGAGGACAATCTTTTTTGTATTTAAAAAAAGTTTTAATCCAAAAGGGAAAAGAAAGATCTAGGTATACGAATTGCAAATCGTGATATAAATTTTTTTTTTTGGACTTTTCCTTAGAAAATCTAATAAAAAAAATTGTAATTTCAATTAGCACTATTTTTCAAGTTGCCTTTAAAAATGTTAAAAAAATGTTTGCGTTCATACCGACTAGAGGTACGATTAACCGAATGTTAGTATTAAATGTCCCGAATATAAACAAATTCTACAACCTCACTTATTTTTCCGCTTCACGTGAAATGCCCCACCTCTCAAATAGTTATTTAAGGTTTACTTCTTACTTCACGTGAAATGCCCCACCTCTCAAATAGTTATTTAAGGTTTACTTCTTACTTCACGTGAAATGCCCCACCTCTCAAATAGTTATTTAAGGTTTACTTCTTACTTCACGTGAAATGCCCCACCTCTCAAATAGTTATTTAAGGTTTACTTCTTACTTCACGTGAAATGCCCCACCTCTCAAATAGTTATTTAAGGTTTACCTATTGGTTAATAAAGCATTAAAATGCTAGGGACCTTTTTATGTGTTTCACTTAATTCGCTTTAGAGAAAAGGCTCTCAAATAGTTATTGGAGGTTTATTATGTATTTAATAAAGCAAACTTTTAATGCTAGGGACCTTTTAATGTGTTTCACTTAATTCGCTTTAGAGAAAAGGCTCTCAAATAGTTATTGGAGGTTTATTATGTATTTAATAAAGCAAACTTTTAATGCTAGGGACCTTTTAATGTGTTTCACTTAATTCGCTTTAGAGAAAAGGCTCTCAAATAGTTATTGGAGGTTTATTATGTATTTAATAAAGCAAACTTTTAATGCTAGGGACCTTTTAATGTGTTTCACTTAATTCGCTTTAGAGAAAAGGCTCTCAAATAGTTATTGGAGGTTTATTATGTATTTAATAAAGCAAACTTTTAATGCTAGGGACCTTTTAATGTGTTTCACTTAATTCGCTTTAGAGAAAAGGCTCTCAAATAGTTATTGGAGGTTTATTATGTATTTAATAAAGCAAACTTTTAATGCTAGGGACCTTTTTATGTGTTTCATTAATTCGCTTTAGAGAAAAGGCTCTCAAATAGTTATTGGAGGTTTATTATGTATTTAATAAAGCAAACTTTTAATGCTAGGGACCTTTTAATGTGTTTCACTTAATTCGCTTTAGAGAAAAGGCTCTCAAATAGTTATTGGAGGTTTATTATGTATTTAATAAAGCAAACTTTTAATGCTAGGGACCTTTTAATGTGTTTCACTTAATTCGCTTTAGAGAAAAGGCTCTCAAATAGTTATTGGAGGTTTATTATGTATTTAATAAAACAAACTTTTAATGCTAGGGACCTTTTAATGTGTTTCACTTAATTCGCTTTAGAGAAAAGGCTCTCAAATAGTTATTGGAGGTTTATTATGTATTTAATAAAGCAAACTTTTAATGCTAGGGACCTTTTTATGTGTTTCACTTAATTCGCTTTAGAGAAAAGGCTCTCAAATAGTTATTGGAGGTTTATTATGTATTTAATAAAGCAAACTTTTAATGCTAGGGACCTTTTAATGTGTTTCACTTAATTCGCTTTAGAGAAAAGGCTCTCAAATAGTTATTGGAGGTTTATTATGTATTTAATAAAGCAAACTTTTAATGCTAGGGACCTTTTAATGTGTTTCACTTAATTCGCTTTAGAGAAAAGGCTCTCAAATAGTTATTGGAGGTTTATTATGTATTTAATAAAGCAAACTTTTAATGCTAGGGACCTTTTTATGTGTTTCACTTAATTCGCTTTAGAGAAAAGGCTCTCAAATAGTTATTGGAGGTTTATTATGTATTTAATAAAGCAAACTTTTAATGCTAGGGACCTTTATGTGTTTCATTAATTCGCTTTAGAGAAAAGGCTCTCAAATAGTTATTGGAGGTTTATTATGTATTTAATAAAGCAAACTTTTAATGCTAGGGACCTTTTAATGTGTTTCACTTAATTCGCTTTAGAGAAAAGGCTCTCAAATAGTTATTGGAGGTTTATTATGTATTTAATAAAGCAAACTTTTAATGCTAGGGACCTTTTTATGTGTTTCACTTAATTCCTTTAGAGAAAAGGCTCTCAAATAGTTATTGGAGGTTTATTATGTATTTAATAAAGCAAACTTTTAATGCTAGGGACCTTTTTATGTGTTTCATTAATTCGCTTTAGAGAAAAGGCTCTCAAATAGTTATTGGAGGTTATTATGTATTTAATAAAGCAAACTTTTAATGCTAGGGACCTTTTAATGTGTTTCACTTAATCGCTTTAGAGAAAAGGCTCTCAAATAGTTATTGGAGGTTTATTATGTATTTAATAAAGCAAACTTTTAATGCTAGGGACCTTTTTATGTGTTTCACTTAATTCGCTTTAGAGAAAAGGCTCTCAAATAGTTATTGGAGGTTTATTATGTATTTAATAAAGCAAACTTTTAATGCTAGGGACCTTTTTATGTGTTTCACTTAATTCGCTTTAGAGAAAAGGCTCTCAAATAGTTATTGGAGGTTTATTATGTATTTAATAAAGCAAACTTTTAATGCTAGGGACCTTTTTATGTGTTTCACTAATTCGCTTTAGAGAAAAGGCTCTCAAATAGTTATTGGAGGTTTATTATGTATTTAATAAAGCAAACTTTTAATGCTAGGGACCTTTTAATGTGTTTCACTTAATTCGCTTTAGAGAAAAGGCTCTCAAATAGTTATTGGAGGTTTATTATGTATTTAATAAAGCAAACTTTTAATGCTAGGGACCTTTTTATGTGTTTCACTTAATTCGCTTTAGAGAAAAGGCTCTGAAATAGTTATTGGAGGTTTACTTATGTATTTAATAAAGCAAACTTATAATGCTAGGGACCTTTTTATGTGTTTCACTTAATTCGCTTTAGAGAAAAGGCTCTCAAATAGTTATTGGAGGTTTATTATGTATTTAATAAAGCAAACTTTTAATGCTAGGGACCTTTTAATGTGTTTCGCTTTAGAGAAAAGATATTAAATATTTTTTGAACACTACTAGTAAAATAATGCAACCAATTACATACTTATCCGGCAAATCCTGCGCAGGAGTGGAAACAACGACGTCACCAAGGCGCACGTGTTTCTTATAATCCGTATAGTGAGGTACACCACCACCAACGCCAACCAAGAATACGTACTCCACCTAAAACAATCATCTAATTTTAACACCTATTAAACAATTGTTTAATATTTACAATGTAAACATTCATGCCATTCTTATGAGTAACAGCTGTCCAAGCAATATTTTTTAGCGGAGGAATTTTTTAATTTCGTAAATCCTTTACAGCTTTCGATATTTTTAATATACGAGTATATTGGTAAACCAAAATTTCTACACTAAAAATTGTTGTGTCCCGTATGAGGACAGACTTGACATATTTCTGGTAGGTACAATACCGGGATAATTTTGACATGCTGAAATTTTGCATAGGAAAAGAATTCTCATGTTTAACCATACAATTCATAAAACTACGCAAAAATCAAATGTAATTTGTATTACCTACGCTTCAACACAATTATTTTACAAAACAATAAGAAATACTGTATTTCAAGGTTATGGAAAGGTTAAATGAATTACCGCTTCATTGTAAGATGTAATACAATAGTTATTTAAAAATATATAAATTTACTTAAAGCACGTTTGGAAGATATCTTTCGCCATATGGCCGATTGGAATGTAACTATATTCGATTCAGCCGTCTCTAAAGTTATTTTAGTAGGAATGCAGGCGTATTAAAATACTACTTTGATCGATTTTGATAGCTCTTTCAGATTATTGTATTAATCAATCAATTTAATCTACATATATTAATAAATAATTTGACTTATATATAAGAACTATTTACAATCACTAAAAACCGAAGGAATGCTTAAGGCATATTATGTCCACGTAAAGTTGTGGGTCTTGCGAAACAACAGTTGTTCCTTTTAGGTATTGTGCTTGCAATGTGTCACCTACATGCCTCATTATTGGGACACACCTTTTCGTTTCTATATTAAAATATTATTAGAATTAGACACACATTAAAGTTTAAATGTATCAAGGACAATTTAACGTAACAATGAAATGAAAACTAAATAAATCGGTGTCAGCAACAACATTATGTATATAAATGATGGGCTAGTATTATTTCTCCGAAGTTAATCTCGTCGTAATAGCTTAGTTTATGCAATTGTTGAGTTACAGTCGGCGCCATATTAGATAATTTTATTCCTAAGAAAACATATAATTTTATATATTATTAATGAATTCAACTTTGTCGCTATGCAGAAAACCAATTTGTTTCTTATATTTATTTTGACTGCTATTTGAAGGAAACAGGCCTTGTGGTACCGGCTCATAGAACCCCTATTTCAAATATATCCGTTAGTGTCGTTACCTATGGTACACAGGATTTTGGAAAGGACATGAGGTCACCTATAAGGTAGACTGAAGATCTCAAAAACTGCGCAAACTTAATGAAAGTACAAACAGCCTTTATGATTCTATCATAATTAGCGCCGGGTTTAAGAGGATAATTATTCCAAACCGTGACCACACTTGAAAGTAACAATTGACAGTAAAATAGGGGTTTGGTCGAATTAAACATCGTAATCATAAATGTTACCGACGTTATATGGTACATAATAATTTAGCTCAAATGTGAAGGAAAATTCGAATGATTTTTCACAATAATATACGAACATTTTCGCAAAACTTTCTGAATGGCAGAACGTTCATCAGGATAAATGTGGTCGACCGTCCTCACAGAAAGTACCAACGGATTATAATGAAAATTCAGAGATATAGCTTGTACATAAGTTAAAACCGTAATAATACCTATAATAATTTTACCTTTTGGAATATTCCAAGCAATCTGGTAGTAGTATTTCCAGCAGCAGTCATTGCTTCCCGGGTTCGTCCCACGGATGGCAATTTGGTGGTAACCACGCGATGAGCGCCAATAGTACCCAAGGTATACACGTTTGACTCTCCTATAAAAATTAAATATAATTATGCGGCCGAGATTCCTGCCATAGAATTATTAGCAAATAATAACTCTCAATTTTCATTATTATACATATTTACGTAAATGAATAAATGAAATATGATTTCATACACTTTGTAAGAGTTCATTTTTTGTAAATTGCCACGATATTTGGTTGAAACTCATTGTACGGGGAGTCCCAGTAAAGATAGCTACAAAATTTTTCCTTATGCTCCGCTAGCAATAAAGTTAAAAAAAAACGAAATCTCAAACTTAATCTAATGTAAATACTAAAGCATACTTTACATTTAAAAACTTAAACGTCCATATTGTATGAAACATGTCATCCAATACTAAAAAATTCTTGATACTTTTTAATATAATATATCAACCGGTTTTGATTATAATAATTTGCGCCACCAATACGTGACTCACGAAGAAGTAAAGTAGGTAATATTATTGTAAAATAAACCGAACAGACCACAATAATCCATTTGAGGTAAAGCACGTATGTAAATGAATATTCTTCAATATTCAAGAATATAGATATGTAATACGATGTTAATAAGTGTACGGATAACTGTTCTTTTAATAATGATAATAAGCAATGGAATGGCCCGAAGTGTGAATAGTGCCCCAAATAATAGTGAACCTTCGACATCCTACAATCTGCCCACAGAGTTGTCGAGTGGAACCATTATAACAATAAATGGTAAACTTAAGATTGATTCCACGTAAGTATGCTTAAGCAGTTTTTTGACTTACAAAAACAAGGTGAACGAACGGCTTATTAACAAAGAATGTAACCTCCTTCGTGGCATTTAATAAATTTAATAGTTCATTCATTCAATATCTGCTGACAGTCAGTTCGCCTAAATTTCTTTGAGCGACCTCGTAAATAGATTATTTTCCAATAAACTAGATTAGCTCCTTATTTGAACGAGCAGCAATATTCAAAAGTGAATTAATTTGGAACGAATATACTAATAATATTATGCATATAAGTCTTTCAAATAAATAAAAGTAACTTTAATCTGGTCATGGTGATTCATATGAGATTTAAAACATTTTCGTTCTCTGGTGAAAAAATGTAACATTAACTATCTCACAAAATATATTCATAATAATAATTAATATCTTATACAAAACTTTTATAAGGCAGGAAGCACTTAGAAGTGATTCCGCCGTCCAATGATACTTTTAAAGCCAGAGGTTAGCACTCTCGATTTGTTGGCTTTTTTAATCGATGCAAATAATATCTAGCTTAACTAGGAGATCCTAAAATGCTGAATTGACTTACGTTCAATGTTAGTTATTATGCATGCCTAATTATGAATTAATCTACTGTAGGTACTATAACTTTTAATAATTGAAGATTTTAATTAAAACAGGTTAAGGATAATGCTTTTGACGAAAAATGGTATTGATTATGCCTGCGGAATGACGTTCGTACCCCAAAAGGAAGTTGTTATACAAGATTCCACGGAATTCCCGTATAATATTCGACCTGCAGATGGTAATTTTTTTTATTATTAAATTAAAAAATATAAGATTAGCAATTATTAATATTGTCTGTGGTGAAAACCCTCTTCTGAGATTTCGATAATTATACGACTGTTCATATATTATAACTAAAAATCAATGCAGCCGGTCCATCATCTGAACGGGGCAAATAGTCTTCATACTAGGATAATTTTAAAATTTGATAAAAATTTCGAGACATTCTACTGCAAGCCGCTCAATGCTCTTCTCGTGTTTAGTACTATAACGTAATTTATTATAATAAAAAGGAAACTTATTCAAAAAAAATCTACAAACTACTTTTTTAGAATATGTATTACACTCCACTGAATACAATAGAAATAAACAATACCTGGAATATATATTTATATATTTATCTTTTTTTTTTTTTACTTACTACAGTCGTCGCGTTACTTCGGACACGCTAGTAAAGTACCTATTAGTCTTGAGGTATCATTTTACACAAACTGAGAAGAAACTTGTTACAAAAAAAAATCACATTGATGAAGTGGGATGACCGTTTAATTTTGCTTTTTCGAAATTATATTTAAAGAATATTTTTTTTAACCCATTTGTTAAACTTTGTTATAGATATGTCCTATTCAGTGGAATGTAATAAACATTCTTCATGTTTCATAGAACTGCTTAGTTTAAATTGATAACCTCAACAACCTCGCATATGAGTTCTGCACTTCCGGAATTCTTTGATCTTTTCCGGTTATAAACATGGCAGGGGAAATTTATTTTTATGTTAAATATTGTTCCAGAGTCAATAACATATACGATATACATGGATGCAAGATCGGTGGATCAAACAATAGACGTCATAGAAATGTATTTTGAAAGTGATAACGCAGGTTTACTGACTCTGAACAGTTGCCCAGTAGATTCTCTAAGCAGTATTGAGAAAATTGTAATAAACGGCAAACAGAGTGTTTTAAACATGACATTCAATTTCCAGAAATCAACCTTGAAGTAAGCTTGAACTGAATGCGCAAACGCATACAATTTCTGTGATATTTTTCTAGTCAATTAATTATTGCGAGTTTCGGCTGGTCCGCAACTATTTTTTTTAATTTAATGTAACATATTTTAATAAAAATGTAAAAACCCTTTCATATTTTTATTTAACCCAACACCATACAGCTTTCTGTTTAAATAAACACAGCGAGGTAGTGTCCTCATTTAGATTTTGTGTTCTTGAAGTAAAGGATAAGGAAAGATAAGTTATGCACGTCAATTGCTTATGAATAATACAAAACTTTACAAAATCACGTACTCAAGTTGAAACAATCGACCTGTGAAGTACATATAACAAAACTTGTACGTATGTACCTCACATTATTTGTATAGATTTGTTTACATGCGTGATTTTTTACGACAAGATTGTCCTACAAGGTTGCGTACTTCAATTGCGCTCACTTCCTTTGAAAATTTGCCATAGTTGGCCGATAATTCTTATCTATTCTTCGGTCTAACCAAGTATGACAGATTAGATAAAAGGAAATTGATATAATAGGGTTTAAAACTAAGAATTTTCTATATTAAGTAGTCAATAACTGGTTTTTCCACGATGATGTTAAATATGCATGGCTGCCGATAACATTAACAATTATTTAGAGTTCTCTACTGGAATCAGATTAAGTGTGCGGTGTGGGCGCAAGCTGGCATGTTCGAAATTAACTATACGTGCGTAAGAGCTCAAACCGAGACCGCCGTAGGCCAACCATCAAAATATGAGTGTTAAATAATAAATTCTTAATAAACGCATACGCATAACGAAACTTGTAACCAAAATATGCTTTCCTAAATAAGCAGTATTGCGTCTCATAGAAAAGGCAATAGGAAGTTTTGTGGCATTGATAAGGTTAAGGTGATTTTATTTAGACTCAAGGTGTCTGGTGTGTAGCTGTGTTGTGATCAGTAGACGGTAGGTACCAATATCAGTGTTTATTTTCAACATTACGTCACCTATAACACAGCTACCTATAGCGTATTAAATCTCTCCTTGGTACGCGCTGAACGTTTGTTAGAGTTTAGAAACAGTTATATCTAAAGAAAATTTACATTTCGTGCTTTTAAAATGCTAAAAGTGTGTTGGGAATGTATTTTTGGGTAAGATAATTATTTTTACAAAACAAAAATATAAGAATAATGTACGGTGTCGTTAATTTAAATATTTTTTTAACTTTATATATGTCTATAATTTTATTTATTAATATTTACATTTAGATGAGGGAACTTGACGTATAAACTAGCAACCAATTAAATTCCGGATTCTAGGCGAACTTGAAGCATGCGCATTGCCGCATTAGCTACAAAATGTCAATGTCAAACCTTTTATAATGTATAATTATTAATAATAGATTCTCATTACCAAAATGCCGAATGTAAAACAAAAGTTAAAACTGTTTTTAGCGATTTAAAATGTAAGATTAGTAAAAATTTAATATTTGTACAGATAAAGTTTTTAACACAAACAGCTCATCAGTGAATTAAAGTACCAAGATAATAAGTATTTATCAAAGTAACAGAATAATTAGAAGCCTGAATGATAAGTTAGACTATAATAATTAACACGTAATCGGTAAACACTAAACAGGTCGCCCAAATACAAATGGGAATATTTACCCAAATGGGAAATAACTAAATAAAATCATTTCCTCAACAGCTATTTCATTGCATAAACGTCTAGACTCTAGAGTATAAAATATATTAATTAAATTTTACTGTTTTCACTATATAAAAATCTAATTTTAAGATCAAACGAAGTACATGATGGAATTAATGGAAGAACAGTGAATGGCTATCCATTAGGATCTACTTCACGTAGAGAGAACGAAATGGCCTTTAGATTACCAAGACCACTGGAAAATGGTGATATTATAAAAGTTGAGGGAATAATAAAATCAGATGACAGACAAAAGTAAGTTTCACATGGTTTGCCATTATAATTAACCTTATCTGAAGCAATATTTGGGTTTTAACAGAATTTCATTATATTCTGCAATATGACAATTATATTGGCTATTAGTAAGCAGATTATAGCAGATAAACTTTGGTGCAATATGTTGATAAATAAATGATTTAATGAAAAATTTACTTTGAATTATAAATAAAAATAATTATAGATTTCGCATGGCACTGACCACAGGAGAGAATTATATAGACAAGCATAATATAGCCTGTGAGGTAGAAGCAGATTTCCTCAATAATCAATTTGTAATGCGAACAGTAGTAAATGGGCAAATATATGATAATATTCTAGACTCTTCAAGAGGAGATCCTGCACCTACAGATATGTTTCCAGGTATTGCTTACATATTTTCCATATCCAAGTAGTCTAACTACTAATAGATATAATAAGTTTATGGTAGGTTTAGTTTTAAGGTTGTAAAAAAATTATAAGTTAGTAAAAGTTAAAGTATATCTTACAGATTTTTTTACTCGAAGTGCATAATTAATAAGAATCATTTTTTTTTTGAAACAGTTTTATCATGATATATTAAGAATTTGTTATTTTCAGACTCCGTACCTGAATTTATACTTGAATTCAATGTCAACGCAGAATATAACCAAATAGACATAAGTGTTGGTATGAGCTTTTTGTGTTCAGTTGATCTTAAACATAACTTGAGAAGTATATCACATGTATTGCTAAGTGATGACATATTAAATGTAAAAGAACTTTGCTTTAAATTTAATCAGAATCAATAATATAACCAATTAATTTATGCCATTTTTGCATTTAGATTAGTATTTGTATAAGTATTATCTTGGAAGTTGGTTAATAATTTAACCGACTTTCAAGGAAGTTATAAATAAATTCAACATGTGATTTTTTTGTACAACTTATATTATGAGGTGTTTTGAGTGAGTTATCAATCGTTTTATAATTGTTAAAGATAGAAACAGCCTTAAGTTGTTATTACAAAGTGATCTTTGAAAATTATATAAATTCTTTGAACTATTCATATATTTAAAAAAATTATACAATCATGTAAAACAATTTGTATATGTTATACTCACTATACCCATTTATGCATTTTTATAATCAGAAGTATTATTAATAAATTATCTAATTTAATAATTATTTTGTATTGATGTTGATGTAATTTTCTATTTAAACTATTGGTTGGTAGAAGTTGTGTATACTTACCATACAATGTTAAATTCTATTTTTTTTACAAAAAAAAAGGTTTGATCTACTTATAAATATTATTTTTGAAAAACACTATATCTCAAAATGCTATAAAAGTTATAAGATCAATTAAAATAGCCTCAACCCTACTAATTTTGTGCAGTTAAATCCCAATTTTCAGATATTTTTATTTTAAGTCTGTTTTTGTGTATGGTTTGGTTATGGTCTGGAAACTGAAGCATTTTAATCTTTATTTTAATCTGACAAAATATATGAAATATTTTGCCAGATTATTAGACATACATTGGTATGTATTACCAAACCAAGCAATGAGAGAATATTAGTTTATTTTATTTTATTATTAGTATTTGGTCATGTATGATTTCCAAATAGTTTTTTTTTATTTTCGTAGCTGCAAAATTAGGGTGGCTTCAATAAAAAAAGGTTTGATTAGTTTTTTGTAAAATTAATTAAAGTTTTATGAATTAAGTCTAGATTTTTAGGGAATATAGTACACAATATTAGCTTAAATTGTTCACTAAACTGAATGTTACAACAAGGCTTGGGTAATTATTCTTCTCAGATAATTATAAATGTTATAAAATTATAGTCCTTTTACTAAAACACACCCACCAGTATTTAGTAATTATTTATTGTATGGATTAAATGATTGTATGATGTAATGTGTATTTTTCTAATGCCCCAAAAAGGAAAAAAATAGAAGGTGATCTATGTGATATTAATATTATTTAAATCATACATAGTCTAATTTAGACATTGTTAAAACAAAATTGAGCCACCAAATGATTTTAAACTGAATTAAAAACAAAGTTGCTACACCCATAATAAAGGTTTGTATTGTTGATTGTGTTGCCTGATGCACTGGCTTAAACAAGTAAACATTACTTACCAACTGTTGTGAATCGCACATATGTCTCTTGATTATCCATCATGGCGTCAACAGCCTGCTTTTCACAGTACAAGGCAGTCACTACAGCAATGGTTGGTTGCCGAGATGAACACAATGTTGGCATTTGTTTCACTACCTAAATTGAACATATATAAATTTTATAAAGCATACTAAAATAAATATAATATATAAATAAAGCAAACATTAAAATTATATATACATTTTTAAAACAGTGTAGCTGTGTTTTTGTTCTAGACAATGTGTATGTTTATTATTCATTAAAAGTTATATAATTAAGATATTGTTTTATTGAAGTGAAATTAAGAGAAATATTACTTATCAGCAACCACTATGATAATAATATAAATATGTTTTTTTATTATGTTTAGCTATCTAATAAAAAAGCATACACATAATATTTATAATTTTAACTTGATATATTATAGCATAATATCCTCAAAGGTTCATTTAAAGTATATTCTGATAACAATAGAATTTGTACCTGTGTATCAACACTGTGCTGCCGTATATATAGACCATCTGATATTGGTCTAGTGAGACCCTTCTCTTCCAAAGACTCCAATGCATCTTTAATCTCTGCTTTGGACCATGGACCAGCTCTAAAAATTAAATTACATGATATCTATTTCTTAAAAACCTTATTGTCCAAAGCCAGAAAGGTTTTTTTTATTGAGTAGGCACAACGCAGACACTTTCTGAGAGGCAGGCATTTTCCCACAGTAAGTTTGGCATAATGGCGTTGTTATTAAACATTAAGAACAATAATTGTTAGAAGGAATGGTTTTTGCTGTGCAAGAAAATTAAGCAGACACTTACGTGACAAAATCTTCTACAGTCAATGGATTTGGGTATGCATTTTCAATCATATCCAATACTTTTTGTTCCGAAAATTGAGTTTGATTGGCTATACTATCATCAATAAATGCTGAAATCAAATATATGTTTTAATCCTTTGATAGTTAGTTTCTGTTACATGCAAGGTTTAACAGTATTGCTCATTCTAGTGTACACAAGTGAGAATAAGGCATCAGAATAATATTTGGTTCTCAGAGATATTAAGTTCTTAATGGAGAGTTGTACACCATAATGAACACAAGGTACTATGAATATATCAACTGTGTATGTACAGATGTGGTATAATGTAGACTTTTCATACAAATACATAGCAAAAATAATAAAAATGCTTCTTATGTATAAACTAAATATACTGTTTTTAAATAAGTCTCAGTAGCCTACTTGGTACATTCAATATATATTTAAGCTTCAGCTCTGGGAGAAATAAATATGGCTATGTACTTGACTGTTTTAAAAATCTGTAAGAAAAGATACAGAGTTGCACATCTATAATTTTTTGTCAAATTGTGTTTACACATTGTTGAAAAGAGACAGCCCCAGCGCTGGTAGTCTTATTTAAATCTATCACTAATGGGTAAAAGTTTTTTAGTATTTCCTGCTTATGAGCGGCACATGATTAAGTAATAACTACATATTTATCACACTAAGTAACATGTTATACGTAAAGTGCAGTGAATAGCTAATGGTTTTTGTAGTTTTAATATACATGCTTTAGATTAAAAACTAACAATGGAGACAAGTGCTTTTAAAAATTATTGTATGTATAATAAGTTATGTTGTCAGTCTCCTATTTCTACAAAAATTGTGAGACATTATTTTATTTTAAAAATTACTTGTTTAATAGACGTGATTTATAAATAAAGTTATATTGAGAAACAAAACAAACTCAGTATGTTAAAATATAGCAGTTATTTGCAAAACTAAAAAACTCATGCAAACAAAATAATATATTAGATATATACATACTACCATTACAATACTTGTATACTATATCCTTACGCGGTATCACACCATTTGCCTCTGTCCATATAGAAAAACATTAAATATATGAGTTTATGGATATTCAAAGTAGCTAATAATTATTTTTAGAGATTTCTTAATAATTCTTGTATTTGCACTAACCATAATATATTTTAAATTTTGTATACTAAAGGATAATTTCTATTTCTAGTATAATATGTACTTCATTTTAAAGGATAGATGTTTCAGGATGTAGCCAGCTCCTATAGAGTAATGGTACCTCTGCCATAGTGTTTCAAGCACATGGCCAATGACCTAGACACCCTGGGTTCCATTCACAGATACAATTAAAATTATACAATATATTGGTAGGTAAAGAAGTTGATCTGGTTGCCATATAAAAAGAAATAAAAATGGATCTCCTTCCCCATAGGAGAGTTCATACTTTAAACAACTTAAGACAACAGAAGTATTTATATATTTCATATTATAGGATGTTGTTTCATATTTCGATATGAAAATTCCATGGTTCAATATGAAAAACCAACCAGGTGGTGGTGGACCTGTTCCCTCCTGTCTTAGCTCCACCTCCAATACTTTCAATAGGTGATATTTGTTCTGCATTAACTTTATTATCTTCTTGATAAAACCAACATAATCTGTAATGCAAAGTTATATAAGTAATAGAATTTTAATTAAAAAAATACATACCATTAATAGGTATTTTTTTTAAGTAACACTTGCCTCATAATTTTAGTCAATGTTGGTACCTATATGACTTATCAATTACTCATAAAGCTGATTTTGAGACTGATGAGATGATATATAGATTTTTTATTATAAATAATTTTAATACATCTAGTAAAATTATATTAGCTGTTTACGATTTCAAACATACAACTATGGATGTGATATAATAAATCTAATATATAAAATTCTCGTGTCACAATGTTCGTTCTCATACTCCTCCGACAACCGATTCTTATGAAATTTTTTATGCATATTAAGTCTGAGAATCGGACGTGTTTTTCATCCCTCTAAATGTTAACGGTGGTCCCACTCCTAAATTTTTATTTTTATTAATCAGATAAAACATTTTGTTTTTATTTTTTTTATGATACAGCATACAAAAATATATAAAACCCTTAATTATCACCCCTCTACGATCAACCCCCATTTTTTATTTGTTAATTAAAATCTTATGACATGAACTCTTTACTCGTTTATATCGAGAAAAATCCACAGAAAAACCTATAAAATATTCATTTCAGAAAACCAAACAGTCTGTGGGGTAGCATAGCAAAATGTTCCATGTTGATATGTACTTAAATGGTAGGCTAGGTAGAATCACATTACGGAGAAACGAAATTCGCAGGGACAGCTAGTATACTTATATTATTAGACCAATTACTCCAATGACTGAGAAACTGATCACAAATCCTTTTTAAACATTTACATGAATATGACAAAGTCAATCCTCAAAGTACTACAGTCAAACCTGGGTAAGTGAGAACTGGTTAAGTGAGAAAACTCTATAAGTGAGAGTAATAGCCGGGACCCGTCATTTTAAGCTCCCAAAACCTCTATTAGCGAGAAACAGAAACCTCTTTAAGAGAGAGTCGTTTTTCCCACATGGACCGGCATTAGCGAGAAACTCGTGTTAGTGAGAAACCTCTATTAGCGAGAATGAGATTGTGCTCCCTTGAACTCTCGCTTATCCAGGTTTGACTGTATATAATAATATAATCAGAAAATGGTAAACCCAGAATTCATGATTGAATTGTAAAGGCTTATCATTCAGGATAGACTTTGTTATCACTTAATTTCAAAGCTAATGTTCAAGGAAAATATTTACAATTTATTAACTAAACCATAAAGGATATAAGAATTCATACAAAATTATGATTTAGTCTTTATCAAAGCAAATTATAATATTCTAGGTATAATATTTTATGGCATTTAAGCTTCATATTAATGTATATTGGGTTAAGTATATTTTATGTCAGTAGGGTACCTTTAGGAAAGTCCTGTGGACTTACAAGCTCCCTGAAGAATGCTTGAGCCTCATGTGGACATTCATGTAAGGAGACTTCAGGTTTAAACCAAAACCGTAAGGCTCTTGCTTCTCTTGTGTGTGTACCATTCGCAGCAGACACCAAATATACACAAAATTCTAACTGTGCATGACAGGGCTCTGATAACCCATTTTCTGTAACATTTTATTGAACAATTATTATTGTTGGATTTTAAAATATGGTTTAAAAAATTAATTTGGAGAGTTGAGTTATTTTACTGCACAAATCCTAATTTTAAACTATTTTTAATTGTTATTTTGAAAAAAACTTACCATAAACCTTTTCTTTGTTTATAATTATTCCAGTATGATCACCACCAGCAACATGAATTTTATCACTTGGCTCAGGTATGGTAACAGCTTTTCTTTCAATCACCAATATGGTAGATGTTGGGGTTTTACTTTTTGGTGTCATGACTACTTTTTCTTCTGTTTCAGCCATTTTAAATTCTTGCAGACTGCAACTGTCTAAATCGTAAATTTAAATATAATACCGTGAGATCAGAAGTGACTCATAACTTTGTCCTTTTCGAGGCAAACGTCAGCTACACCAAGCTTTTACAAACTTAATAGGAGCCAAGGTTGATTTATAAGTAGGCACACACTACGATACAGTATAGTTTAGTATACTTTGACTACCGCAGATTGTTAGATCAATTTTATTAATATCGACATAAGGGCGGCATGTGAATTGTGATGGTTTATGAAGGACAACTAAATTTAAAAAATTAAATAAACTATAAAGAATTTTATAATTATATAATTTGTACTTACAATATAATATAATTGATTTTAATTGGTTCAAAATATATTACTTTAAAAGAGTAACTATTATTAATCTTATAAGACGAGAACTTTTAATTATTTTGTTTTCATATACTAATTGTTTGCCGCTTGACTATTTTACTCCACAGATCAGTGATTCCAATTTCCAACTCCTACGGAATGTTCCCCCTAGAATAAACTTCAAGTACCCCATTATGTCGTTTTAGTTGTACACTGGGTGATTTCAAATATTAAAGTAGTAACTTGAATAGTAATTTTATTTTATAGTTAAATTGTATAATATTGCGATCTTGGAGTATTTTAGCTTTTAAATGTTTCAGTTATAGACACGCCTGGCATTTATATTTGGTTTAGTTTGTTCTTTGGAGTTCTAAAGTTATTTTAAGGATTTACACATTTAGATACATTATTGAATGGCCTAATACATATTAATAAGGAAGATAACAATAAAATTTAACGATTTTAATTTTATATTTCGTAAATTTTAGGCTTTTTCCTTAATTTACAAACATAACATACATTATATTTAGAGCATTTTATACTTTTCTAACCGTTGACCCATAATTTCGATCTTGGAGTATGTTAGTTAAAGTTATCCTTAGAATTTATATTTGGCTAAGTCTGTTGGTTGTGTTCAAGCCTGTGTGATTAGTGTATATTGTATAGAGTAGTGGTTTTTTTTTAAAACAAAGATCCCTCCTTCACCTTCAATAAATTACCCCCCCAAAATCCCTTTAAATAAATGGACCCTGATTACCTCGATTCCCCCTAAATTCGAGGGGAAATCCGTAAGCTGACATCACTGCATTCATTATATAATAATCGTCTTTGGCCTAAAGGTCTAGATACCAGGCCATAAACTCCAAAAAAAAAATAAAAAAAAAAATATAATAATCGTCTTTGGCCTAAAGGTCTAGATACCAGGCCATAAACTCCAAAAAAAAAATATAATAATCGTCTCACTGACAAAGTCACAGACATTATTAAAGAGTATAACTTAAGAATAGGGAAGAGGGACCACTCACGACAATAATTCAAGGAGAAGGGAAAATTCCCTCAGAGAACATAGAAATTTAATTAAATTATTATTTATTGTAATCTTTTTTAATTAAATTAATTATTAATTAATTAAAAAAGATTAAAGCTAAATTTTATGTTATGTCCTCTCAAGCCCTTGAACTAAAACGACATATATATATATAGTTTAGGCAGATCTATACAGCCTAAACAGCCCGAGCTAAAGTTTAACTGTTATGGCTCTTCAGGCTAAACAAGATTCCGTTAAAGAAAAATTAAATCATACTCATACTATTAGAATAATTATAAATAGAATATATACATACATTTTAAATGGGTTAAGAGTGCTCGAATGCTAAGGGTAAGACTTAACGCGAAGATACCCGTATATAAAAAATGTATTGGATTTTATCATACGGGAGTAATAGTTCGCACTAAGTCTCGTTTCTAAGACTCACCCCAAGACTACATTAACAACTTACTGTACAAAAATAATTAAATGTAAAAAGAAATTATATTTCCAATTCGACGGCTATAATCGTTGAGTAAAATCAACGTTAATAAATCCCCTCGGTAACTTGAAAAAGTTAAAAGCCGTAGTTTCTGATCTGAAATCTTTAGTCAACAGCAATTTGATTCTATGGTGTACAGGTTGAAACATTTTTTGAATGTGTGTTTGGAGCAGTGTTGCCAAATCAGATTTTCCCCTAGATTTAGGGGTTTCTCAACCGAGTAAGGGGCAGAATAGAGGGAAAGCATATTTGGGGGTTTTTTTTAAGGAAATTTCAAAAACACACCAAATACATTTTTTTTTGCTATTGCTATTACGTTCCTGATTTTGGAACTAAATTGAATTACGAACACATCGTAAGTTTAGGATCATGATTAACCTTACTTATTGTATATTCGTTTGAGCTGTCAAAGAACGATCTGATTTTAATTAAATACACATTCTAAAAAATCATTAAAATTCATAAATAACAATAAACAATTATTATTATTTTTTTGTATAAATTGAATCCTAGGGGATTTCTAGGGGGAAATCAAATTAGTCTAGGGTTACGGCCGAGACCATCTGGCAACACTGGTTCAGAGGTGTATATACCAGGCCATAAACTCCGAAAAAAAAAGTATAATATCTAGAATTTGAGGTGATGAGACAATTAAAACTTTGAGTGTGAGTGGGATGTGACATTCTGCATAAAAAAATCGATTTTATATTAATCGATTATTTTTTTAGCATGAAAAATCGATTAACAAATAATCGATTTTTCTTAAAAAAACAATAGATTTTTTTATTAATCGATTTTTTCCTAATTTTTGAATTAATTTCAAAATAATCACCCTAAATATTTTTATTTTTCATATAAACAATAGAAATTATAAACACAAATTAACGTTTAAGAATAATCAAAATCGAAATTAACTTAATGTCGTTTTGATAGATTTTAGGTGAAATTTGATAAATGCTGAGTGTATGCCTTTTCAGTAGCACATTGCAGTATTTTTGATGTCTTTTTAATTGTATGTAATCTTGTGCTGCTGAATAAATTTATTTTACTTTTAAATTATAGTGTTCCATTCAAACTTTGAGTTTTTGTAAAATTAACTGGTTTTATCATCCTTTCGATGTTTTACAAAAAAACATCAATGCATCGAGTATATCAATACATCTTCAAGGAATCGGATTCACTGTATCGCATTGTAAACATCGTTGTATATCGATTATCCCTAATAGTTCGAGGTCCGGGTTATAAAAGACCAGACATAATGACGGGAGATGGCAGATAAAAAATCGACTATGTTTGATTTTCAATTATAAAAATAATCGATTATTTTAAATATAAAAATCGCTTAAAAAAATCGATTTTTACTTTTTAAAAAATCGATTAATATCGATTTTTTTAATAATCGATTATTTTTTCACATCCCTAAGTGTGACATTTGAGGTGCCTCATGTATGAGGTGCGCAACACTAATCTAGAATCTAGATACTATATAGATAGATAACTTCTGTGTAATGTTTTCACAATAATTTTCACGGTCATATTTTATAAGATAAAATTAATAATATAAAGATCATATTATATAAATCTTAAAGATTATATATGAAAGACTGCGAGCATTGTGGTTGGTTCACCTTGATTTAGTAGCTTTGCAAAATGCAATTGAAACTTTGTTTCTTAACTCTTCTGTATGCTTTACGTGTAAATAGTGATCAATTGCGGAGTGTTAGTGACGATGAACTATTGCAACTCATAAAAGAAAAGGAGAAACTGGTTGTTGTATTTAGTAAGTATCAATTGAACATATCTTTTATTAGTTACAATGCAATATAATTATTACTTAAAACATTTTGATAACATTTGGTATAATGAATGAAAGCTGGGCTAAAATATATAGACTAGTTTTCTTATTAGTAAAAAACAAGCGCAGACCGGCTTCTCCTGAATATAAATTGTTTAAATATGTTTAACCTTTTTTTATAGACAAACCCAATTGCAAAGAATGTGAAAAATTAGAAAGAGTTGTGGATGATTTACAAGCCCATTTTGAAAAGCAGTTTAATGCTCTAACAGTTAAGGTGGTAAACAGTCATTTAGCTCGTCTTTATAGTCCAACTAAGGAGCCAGCATTAGTTTTCTTTAGACATGGTGTACCACTTCTTTATAATGGTATGTATTTTAAATTTTTATTATAATTAAGCAGAAAGTCTTACCTTTAAAAAGTATTCAACTAATTATTTTTTGATTAATATTGATTTAATTTTGAATTCTAGAAAAATTATTATATAATTATCTAGAACATGTATTCATGTATCTTAATTGTGACTATAACTGTAAATTATGTTTAGGCAATATGAATTTAACATTTTAGGTGAAGCTGATGAAGGAGAGATGTATGGCTACTTAGAAAAAAATCAATCTCCGTCAGTTAAAGAGTTAACAGATAAAATATTTGAACACTTGACACAAGCAGCAACTGGTGCCACTACTGGAGATTGGTTTGTTATGTTGTAAGTATCATTAGTAAAAAAAAAGTTTTATTAGTGGGTATACATAGACCAACAGTTTAGGTAATAGGTATTTGGATAAAGTGTGTGACATTACTTCAATACACAATCAATATTCTATTAAGTTACAATTATTATACATAAAAAAAATTACTTATAACATGACTATTTCAGGTATCTCTTTCACAAATAATTATTTAAATATATTAAGTCAAATCATAATTTTAGCTATGGCGCATCATGTGTAGAATGTCAAAGACTTCATGCAGTATGGGAAGGTGTTGGAGCTACATTGCATGGAAGAGTTAATGTAGCTAGAATGGATTCAAATTTAGCAGGAGCCCTTACTGCTAAGAGATTTAAAGTGACAAAGTTGCCAACATTTTTATTGTAAGCATTAAAACATCTTTATTGTAAGCTTGAAAATATAATAATATAAATGGTTTGAAACACAGGCAAATATATTTGTTTCTGGTTGATCATAGAAGGCTGATCACTTTTGACCAATTGCCTAAAGATTAAAGGAGCTATCACAGATATGTCGGCCTCATTGGTTTGTTTGGACTTTAAACAACTATTTTTTTTAATAAAATGGCCAACAAGTGTATTTGAATTATAATTCCACATCTAAATTATTGTATCAATTTTAGCTTTCGCTTGGGCAAAGTGTATAGATATGATTTACCAAAATATGATATCAAATCATTTGTAACATTTGCTCAAGACTGGTATAAAAATGTTAAAGGGGAGGCTGTACCACTATTGTCTTCACCATTGTAAGTAGAAAAGCAAATTATTAATATAGCATAAGTTGAGCTTATACAAGTACAATACTATCAGATTTTTGCTTTGTATAACATTTCAGTAAGTTTGTTTATCTGTTCACAGTGATGATGTTGTGGACTGGAGTGTTGATATGATAAAGTTTTCAATAAAACTTGGGGTTGAGATATTAGCAAAATATCCATGGATCTGGCAGATAGGAGTCACTGGGTTTGGACTGGTTGCACTGACTGCCATAATAGCACTTATGAAAGCTAGAAAGTCAAAACCTACGAAAAATGTCAAGAAAGATAAGAAAAAGAAATAACTATAAAAATATTAGTAATTTACTTCCACTTCTAAATCCGTCCATTTCTTTCCAGATGGCATTTTAGTTGACACAAAACTTTTATATTTTTTCAGATAATATAGAGTATACAAGAAATTTTTGTTTCGTTTTTGTAATAGTTTACTATAATCCTTTTTAAATAATAGTTTAGATTTATTTAAAAACTTTATTAAGTGAAAAAGCTCATTAAAATACATGACATACAATACAATAGTTATCCATACATGTTTCATAGGTGTATAAGCTTGTAAGCAATAATGGCCTAAATATACTGCTCAAAACAATTAGCGGAACAAGATTTTTCTCCTTTCTATTGCTTAAACTAAAATTAGATTTAAATTAACTTGTACGCTATTTTTTACCTTGTTAATCTGTTAATTACTACAATTAATAAAAAAATTCAATTAGTATTTTTAAAAAAAAAAAAAAATTAAAATGTGCATTGTAGACGAAAAACTAATTGGTGATAAAAAAGGTCCATCAAAGAAATATTCTTATATCGTTTGAATATTCGTCTTTAGTGACTTTCAGTAACGTGTGTGGCCTCCATGAGCCCTAATCACGGCTTGACAACGACGCGGCATGCTTCGTATGATCCTCCGAATATCCTCTTGTGGAATTCGCTCCCATTCTTCAATCAACGCTTCAGTGAGCTGCTGCAGTGTTTGAGTTGCAATCGGACGCTTCCGGATGCGCCTGTCAAGCAAGTCCCAAATGTGTTCAATTGTATTTAGGTCAGGGCTCATGGAAGGCCACTCCATTACACGGATTTCCTGCTGTCGTAAGTAATCTGACGTGATGGCTGCAGTATGCGGCCTGGCATTATCTTGCATTAAAAGAAAATCTGGGCCCATACCATATGCTGCGGGCCAAACATGATCTTCGAGCATATTTTCAATGTAAGTTTGAGCACACAAGTGCCCGGGAACAACGACGTAAAAAATAGCGTACAAGTTAATTTAAATCTAATTTTAGTTTAAGCAATAGAAAGGAGAAAAATCTTGTTCCGCTAATTGTTTTGAGCAGTATAATAAAAGATAAACATACATCAGACATATAAATAGTTTATAATAATTATATATTGCACAAACAGTATTGTGATATGAAATGACATTATGTTTGGTATCCACACAACTGTTAACAAAAGTAAGCAAAGTTACAACAAAATACTAATATAATAAATGAAAGGTTATAATAATTATAATACTATAATATCATTAAAATTTTATTGAGTAATACATATTATGCAATGTTACTGGGTTATACTGTGTCAATTGCTATATTTATTCTAAAAACAGATGCGGGATCGGACAATTGTAATCTTATAGCATTTTCAAATTTTTTAAATATCATAGAAAATTCCATTATATTCTCTGGTTTAGATTCTATCCATAATTTATCAAATTCAAAAAATAAATAGCAATAAAATCTATGAAATAGGTCAATGTTGGGCAAGTAATGTTTTGCATTGAACATATATGTTTTTGCTGAACCATCCTTTAATAAGTAATATGCCATTGAAGTTAAATTTATGCCAACAATTGCAAAAGTATAGCCATATTTTGGATGTTGGGAGTGACTTAAAACATGGCTTGAAACTTGTGTGTACTGCGTAGCAAAAAATAAAAGATTTTCTAAGCCCAATAGACCCATTCCTCGGAAATCAGTTTTTGGGTCATCTCCCTGTGAAAAAAGCACATTTCTTTAATTTAAGTATATGAGAGCAGTATAAATATACAGTCAAACCTGAGTATGTGACAACTAGGTAAGTGAGAAAACTCTATTATTTAGTAGTATAGTATAGTATATAACCATCATTTTGCCCTCCTAAAACCTGTATAAGTGAGAAACATTAAACCCGTATAAGTGACAGTCACTTTTTTACACATGAACCTCTATAAGTGAGATTGCTACTCGCCTTACTACTCTATAAGCAACAGTTAAAAGCAATTAACTTTTGCTATTTATGACTCATTCTTAAATTTCAAGGGCCTTTTATTTAATTCAAATCATGAATATATATGAATAATATTAATCATGTGTTTTTTATTGTTTATGTTTTACAGACCCCTTCTGTAACTCTGTAAGCTAGTTAGAAACCTCTATGAGAGAAAATGAGATTGCGGTCCCTTGAGCTCACTTATCCAGGTTTGACTATATTATGTGTTTATTAAATATGATACCTGAAAGCCAATATCTTGCCACTGCTTTGTTATTCTATCTTCTAGGAGCTCATTAGGCTGTAAAAGGCTCCAAAGTTTTAGCAACTTTTCCTCATGGTTTGAGTTTTTACTATCATACTGAGTACACCTTAATTCTTCAATGTCATCAATTAACTGTCTATAGCTCCAAATCTGTTGTAGACATTTTCTAAATGCTGGGACAAATTTTGGGTGTAATTTTGTATTGATTTGTTTAGCTCGTAGAATTATATTTATTGATGGATACAACACATCATCAAAGTTTTGTGGTATAAATCTTTTTTCAAGGACCACTGCATCTAAGAATGCAATAACTTCTATTACATCCCTAGTACGAGATAGCATTAATGAATTTTCTACATTACAAGTTCTTTGAGCCCCAGGTTTGTCACCATAACATATACGTTGGAGCTCGCATAAACGGGTAGTTTTCCTCAAAATCCACTTAACAAAAGGTCTTATGTACCAATTTATTACAGACCAAAGATTAAAAAATACCATTACTACTCCGTATTTTATTTTTTTACTTCCAATGCTTAGCAACAACTTTCCCTAACACTTGGTAGGTTGATTGTAGTGGTACCTATCGTCCAGGCTACTACAATATTATATTCTTCAGTCATGTCATTTTTAACCAATAGTTACTGTTAATAGTATAAGTTATCGTAGATAGTTTTGTAGAACAATGTTTAATCAAATTATAAAATTCATTAAACATTGTACATTCATTACACTAAATTCTGTAAGTTAAAAGTTAAAACATTGATAATTGAAGTCTGCCGACAATTTTTTTCATAAATTGACAGTTGACAGAACATGAAGTGCAAACTCACTTCACTTCAATTTATTTATAATGGCGACATCTGTGTAAATCACAATTCCGCCAATGTCACGTTCTAACGGCCAAAACCAATATGCAATCTCAATCCAATTTTAGCGGTCTAGACTGACAATTCAATCCATTTCTAAAGAAAACCATGCCAATATTAAATCCATGGACAGAGATACCAATCTAATTATTCAACCAATCGTTCAGAGGGCGGATAAGAGATTGAAGATTGCCCTCTGTATGAAAATGAATGTTTACTCATGCCAACAACCTATCTGTCCATTTTGACAGTTGCTTCGATTGGCCAAATCAATCTCGGATTGCTATCGATGAAACTCGTATGATTTGGGTTTGGGATTGCGACCTAACTTAATATTCATTGGGAAAATTTATTCATCTTCGTCATCTTCCAGTTCTAGTGATAGTGATTTGGAAGTTTAAATGCAATTATCCGATTGGGATAGTAATTCTGAAGCTGGAAGAAGACAACGTACTTCTGTGCGAAGACATAAGAAGACAAGAATTAATGATGATGAACCAGCTAATGATATTGATCAAAGCGCAATTGACAACGTGGGAAATGCAAGTGTGCGAAGTAATCTTATAAGTGATTATTTTGCTTTATTACTATAATATTTTATAAATTACAACATTTTTGAGATAAATTAAATAAAAATTCAATGCTTTTATTCAAATAAAAATACAAATTTTTAATACAATACATCCTTGCTCCAGGCACAAAATCTATTATTTTTCTAATTTATTTAACAATATATTTTTTTCTATGGCCCATAATTCTCTTTTATGCTCTCTTGCTTCCTCTTCAAATGCCCATTGCTTTCTCTTATTTAGAAGCTCTTCCTTTCAATTGACTTTCAATTCCTTCGACAGACAACAATATCATGTCTTTGACTTTTTCCTCGATAGGGGTAAGAGGAGTAGCAGCACTAGGGCCACCTCCTGTACGATATGTTTCAGCATGTATCAAGGCAGACTTTTTTCTTGTAGCCCTCTTTAAGCTTTAGCACTGCGAAAGATAACCCCACTTGTGCTATTAAACAGCGCCTCCAGCGTCTTCCAGCACTGCTCTTTCTCCTGCCAGGTGACTGAGTCACTCTTTTTATTTTCTAATATATTTTTATGGTCAGCAACAAGCGAAGTTAGAAGGTCAACTTCTTCCCGGCTGAAATTGACGCTTCTTTCACGTTTTTGCGAAGACATTTTTTTAAGTTAAAGAACCAACCTCGAATCACAAAAACAACATACACAAACTACTCAGAGAAAATTTATATTTGAAAGGTCAAGCCGAAGGCGCCGAACTAAAATATATACTAAAATACTCAATAACCTAACAAACAAAAATACCATATGAAAATGACAGCCCGTTTCGTTACAAGTAATATTAAATGACCAACAAAAAGGTTAAGGTTCTATGTTTTTCTATAGAATTTTGTAACTTTATTTGTTCGTAACAAAAAAACAAACAAAAACGTTGCATAGCTATTTGCTACTTTATCCATACATTGTGAAACAGACCCTAAGTCTTACTTATTTTATTTCGTTCCAAAAACAGCAAACTTTTGGTATGCTTGAACACAATATATTGCATTGAACGAAACGCGGTCGAGAGGGAAGGATCACGCAAAAGATTGCTGTCAATCTTTTGTCAAATAAACAATCGGATAGCAGAAATGTTTATTGGCATGCAGATTGGAGATCGGTCTTTAGATATGAATCAGTCCAAGATTGGTTATAATCATAGATTGAGGATACATTATTAATTTTGGCCGTAAGTCTTCACACAGTGAGGATAGATTTGATAATTTTGATAGATTGAATTTAATCTAAGCAGAGTTACCCAAAACAAAAATGACATCACAATAAAGACAACACACACAGACATCTAATAATATATACAAGAGGTTAATATTTTACTACAAGGTATGGAGGGGAGAATCTTATTTATAACTTTTATTTATTAACAGAAATAAATTTCCCTAAAATTTTGACGATCGGGCTGGATGGGAGGGAAAGTAGGGAGTTAAGGTTACATGGACGAGGGAAATCTGGAGAAAGATGGTCAAAAAACGAGTCATTAATTAAAGAACAGTTAAAAAATATATGGTCTGTCGAGCCCTCGTCCATACCACACTCACAGAGAGAACTGTCTTTAATTTTAATTTTGGCTAGATGAACGGGAGTACAAGCGTGCCCTATACGAAGACGGCAGATTAAAGACGTAACCTTTTTGTTTAAAAACTTATATTTAAAAAACCACGGCGAAGAAGGGATTGAATACTGAATATTAGCATAGTGCCTGCCAGTTTTTTCTTAAGAAGATTGCCAATCAATAGTCCAGGATTTTAAAAGGTGGGAGTACGCAAGAGCTGATAGGTCGTGGGCCGAGATGTTAGGATGCTGACAAGATCCACAGAAAATAGCACCTTTTGCACAAGAGTCAGCAGTTTCATTACCCGCTATACCACAATGACTAGGTATCCACAAAAGTACAATATGAATAGTGAATATCTTTTTTACTACACCTAAACAAAGCTTCTCTTATTTTTAGAATCGTATTATGTTTTTTTTTAGACCTGAATGGATTGGAAAGAATTGCCTGTAAGCAGCTGCGAGAATCGGAAAAAAATTGTAACTTTATTCAGGTTGTGGGACTCAGCATACAAAACCGCTTCTAGGATTGCAAAAGCTTCACCTGAAAAAACGGAGGTCAATGGAGGAAGTTTATAGCTCAATACTGTTTTGTATGAAGGGACCCATACAGCCGCACCGATGCACTCATTACTGGGAATCTTGGAAGCATACAGTATACATCGGTAACCAACCCTGCCAGTCTTTTGAAATTTTTTCCAGAAAACAAATGGAAGCTTGGGTGGATTTTTTTTCAATTCCAAAGTTATTAAATTTAGGATCAAAAATGAGGGATTCATAACTTTTTAAAAACAAGGGATTACTAGGGAAACTTTCAACAGGATTAGGAAGACGAGAAAGTTCATTAAAACTGTGTAATAGGCATGGAACATTACCTGTACTAGATGGCATCGTGAGATTAGATAAGCGACGTAATTTGGACAAGATGGAATGTGAAGAGTATTGAAGGACTTTGATGAAGAAGCGGTCACTTAAAAATTGTCTACGTAAATACAGGGGGGTCAACACATTCTATTTGGAGAGCATTGATGGGATTTCATAGCACCAAGGATGATGCGTAAAGATTTCGATTGAATTTTGGAAATTTTATCAAGGGCTTGCTTGTTGCCAGGATCTAAAAGGAAGGTGCCATGAAATGTTACACCGTGGAACCTTGTATTTTGTAGTAAACGTGACCGCCGAACATTTGGACACAGAAATAGAGAGACCATGATCATTTAACCAATCACCCAAGTAATCCAAAGCCGAATTTAGGCGTGATGATGCCTCTTGAATATAATTTGATGAAAAGTATAAGGCTACATCATCCTCGTATTGAAGGATCTGACAGAAGGAATTCACAACAAGCTCCAGGTCATAGGTGTAAATGTTGTACAGAAGAGGACTCAAAACAGAACCTTGAGGTAAGCCCCTCCAAATAGATCTAGGAGACAGCTCCGTATTTTGGGATCTTATAATAATATACCTAACGATTCGAAACTGCATTGCAAACAAAACGTACCAACTTCTCAGGAATACTCAGCTGAAGCATTTTTTGCCTGAGCACCGGAACCAGCACGTGGTCATACGCAGATGCGATATCCAAGAAAACACCCACCAGGAACTGTTGCAAAAGCAATGCGAATGTCGGTCGTTATTATACTTAGGCTATCCATCGTACTCAAGCCTTTCCTGAAACCAAACTGGGATTTTGCACGGATATTGTTACTTTCACAAAACCATTCTAAACGAATTTTAATCAATGTTCCATAATTTTTAAAAGGGTAGAAGACAAAGCAATAGGTCTGTATGAAGAGAAATCTGATGGATCTTTACCAGGTTTTAGAAGCGGAATGACGATTTGTCTGTTCCACGATTCAGGAATAATTCCAAGATCGAAAAAACAGTTTACTAAATCTAGAAAGTACCTCTTAGTGCCTAATGAAGAATTTATGAGGAATGAGTAGGGGATTCCATCTTCTCCAGGGGAAGAGTCAGAGAGACCATTTAATGCTTTGTTAAGTTCTTCCAAGGAGAATTGACAATCTAGACTGTTTGAAGAGGGGATGTAAGAATCACATACAATCATAAAAAGGGACTGATGGAGGAGCCAATTTGTCGGTAAAGGAGGTAATCCAGCTAGACGGATCATTAAAAGGAACATCATAAGAATTGAGGGAACAACGGAATCTTCTGATCTGCCTCCAAACAACAGACGAAGGGGTACCAGGGCATAGGCTCTCACAGAACTTATGCCAACCAAGACGTTTCTTATTATTAAGAAGTCTGCGAGCAGCTGCAGAAGCTTGTTGGTAGACTAAAAAATTCTCCAAGACTGTATGACCTTTCTGCCGCTTTTCGTTTTCGAATCATCTCAGTACATTCGGAATCCCACCAAGGAGGAGAAATTTTCCTTTGTATAGAAGATTTGAGTGGAATATGTCAACTGGCAGATGAGGTAAGGGAGTTGACAAAATCATTGTATGAAGATAGGCAGTTTTCAGCAGAAACTGGGGGGAGTGCA